TATTGGGGGACCTGAACACACCTCTCAGCATTGGACAAATCATCTAGGCAACAAATCAACCGAATAACCATTACTCTTTAAGAAGGAGAGTAGAAATCTAGGGTTATCAGTGGTGGGAGGGGAAGGAAGAAGGAGATAGGGAGAGATTAGACAAGGGGCATAAAGAATAAGTACAATTCGTAATAATATCCATACTGGTAATATAGATTTGATCAACAGACGTCAACATTGAATCCCAAAAATATGCATAATCAGTTATAATTCAACAACAACAAAAAAAGAGAGATGTCTGATGGCTATTCATTAAGACCTGAAAATAAAATTGAGGAGTAAATCTAAAAACTGTCGATTTAAATTGCAGGATTCCATTCTAGTTTGTGTAACTTGAATAACATTTTTAGTTATTTAACTCTTCCTTGTCCCATGGATAGAGAGAAATGTTTTAAATGCTCTTCCTTAACTCTGTACCTGTACTGATACTTTCATTTGCTTTTTAGGTTCAGTATACCACTTTGATAAGTCAACGTCATCTTGCATTTCTACTAATGCTCTTCTTCCAGATCCGTATGAATTGGAGAGGTAATTTTTTCTTTGTAGTTTTACTTGCACTATTTATGTGAGGTTAAATAACCCTAGGGGTGGGAACTAATGCGCCTCTATGGCTCTCTGCTCAGGCTAGGTTCCTGCTCAGACCAAGCTCCTCATTAAAGTGTCCTTTTCTGTGGCACATCCTCCAAATAAATATTTATATATTCTGAAGAATATTTTTATTCTCATCTGTCNTTGTCATTGTGATGATGCTGCATAACAATACCCTCAGTGGTTTACAGAAGCAAACGTTTTATATTACATTCATGGTTCTGTAGGTTGGCTGAGATTCAGCCACTTTTGAGTGGGCTCAACTAGGCTCAACTAGGCTCACCTGGACGAGGCTGGACTCCAGGTTTCAAGTCAGGTTCAGGTCTGTTTCACATGTCTTTATTCCAAGACTGGGGCTAAAGGAACAACAGCCCCCTGGGGTATATTCTTCTGTGAAAATGATGAAAACTCTGGAGGAGGCTGCAGAAACTAGCCATACCTCTTCACACCTGAGACCTAGCAAGCAGTCACTTCGGGCAAAGCAGATCAGATGGCCAACTGCTAAGCCAGGGGGACAGGCATATATACTCTACCCTCTCTGAGGGAGGCCCCACAGGGTCACCTGGCAATGTGGTAGGAAGTGTAATTCTATCACAGGGAAGGAATAAAGAGTTGGAAGCAATAATTCAGTCTTTCAATCCATGAAATAGGCATAAGATCCGTGTAACAAAAGTTACAGATGACCAGTTCCTACAGGGTCATTTCATCAGGGTCCAATGAACTGAAATAGTTGTTGATGGAACATATTCTCTCTCATTAAATCCAGTTCCATAATAGTGAGTGCTGTTTTCTCTTTTACAAACCAGTGGTTGGCAAACTTTTTTTGTAGAGGGCTGTGTCGTAAATATTTTCGACTTTGCAGGCTATACAGTCTGTGTTGCAATTACACAACTCTGCCTCTATAATGCTAAAGCAATCATAGACAATACTAGACAAATAGGTGTGGCTGTTTTCCAAAAACCTTTACTTACAAAAATGAGCAGCAGCCAGATTTGACCTTGGGGCCATAGTTAGCTAACCCCTGCTATAAACCCTTTTGTTAGGAAGTGTTTATTGGTTATATCTCATTAACTGCCACTCTTTTATGTAAAAGTTGTGTCTTGGGGCTTAGCTAAAACAGTCTTTCTCTCCTGTCTGACATTGACAAACTTGGGTATAGCTTTAATTAACTTTGGGAAATGTTTTACTTGTACAGTAAGACAGTGAAAATTGTCATTAACTAAAAACATAAATTTCTATCCTAAAAGCCTTATGTCAAGCACCGAGTAGCTTTATGAATATATAATAATAATAATAATAATAATCGTCTTATTAGAGAGCAAATTTTGAACACCACTCTTAAAAGAGATATAGCTGCCATTTATTTATTTTCCAACGCTGAA